TTATATTCTTCAACATAATATGATGGCTAAATTACCTGTTTATACCTAAAGTTTATACCTGTGTGTAATTTATAATCAAAAACTTAGCATCAACTCTACCAATAGTGCACCTTCAGTGTATGCCCTCCCATATTCATGTACACTATCACAAATCTTATTTCAATTTCCACTATTGACGAATACGCTTAATATCGTGTTTTTATAATATTTGTCATCTGTTTTAGTTGAAAGCCTCATGATTAATATTACATATAACCACTTAAAGAAGTATCTATAATTACTTAATTATATTTTCATCCCTCCTTTTTCCTTTATTAACATTTAGGTTTAAATGAAAGTTCAAAACATCTTTTTCAGTATTGGTGAAATTAATTAATGCAAAAAAAATTTGAAAGCATAACATTCTTTTTTTATTGTTGATATTGGTAATGTGTGAAGTTTATATTTAAAAAATGCTTTTTTTTCTAAGGCTATCAGATTAACTACTCATTAAATAAAAAAACAAAAATAATCTAGAGCTACCTCCATAGGTATGTAGGTTTGTTCCATAACAAAAGCCGTCCTTTTTAATATTCAAATTAATTGTACAGCATTTCGGTATATCCTATACACCGACGTTCCAAATGTTAACTTGAGGTAATTAGATCATAATATTTATAGAAATATTATAGATATATTTACTACTTCCAATCTCTACAAAAAATATATATGATTTCGTTTTTCACTCCATTTGCGAAATTTACAATTACAAAAGTGCACGTCTTTTAATGTCTTCCAAAGGTTAGATTTATTAATTAATAGAATATTATATTTATATAAGTTTGCTGCTGTAATTCTAGAAAAACAATAGTAATAAATAATTAAAGAAGATGTTATTCAAACGAATCGTGCTTAAAGTTGTGGAAAAAAATTATAAAGCTAAAAAATGTATTCCGTAAAGGTAAAAATATAAATAGAAAAACAAAACTGGATAAGAGAGTTAAAATACTGTTGGTATATTTTGGTAAATATAGTTTTAACAGTATTAAAAATAGTAATAAAAATAAGGGATATGTTAAAACAAGTTCTACTAATTAAATAGTATCATTTATATTAGTAGAAAAAGGATAAAAATGTAAGTTGAATAAGAAGTCTTACCTTGTATAAAATTAGAATTAAGTTAAAAATAAATAAAAAATGTAGAGTGTAAGAGCAAATGAATGTCATATAGAGTAACTAAGAAAATACCATAGAATTGTTAAGAGGAACACCCTAGTTAATAAGCCATGTAGAAATAAGTTGTATTGATTTAAATTGTAGTTATATTTAGTGAGAAAGCATAAAAGTGTAATAAGTAAGTAAGTTAAGTTTATATACAGATAAGTCTAATACAAGAAGAATATGTAAACAGAAAGTATGAGGAACAGCCTAGTATCATAAGTTATTTCTGAATAAATGAACCCTTAACCTTGTACCCCTAGAAATAGATAATGAGAGTAGTATAGATAGACGGGAATATACCCAAAAGTAGGAATGGAAAGCATGTTAGAAAGACATGGAATGAAGAAAGGAAGGCCCTAACGCGTGCGTGAAGTATGAAATAGAACTAGCGAACACAGAATCCGACCAAGTTGGAGGGAATAGACAAAAAAAAAGTTGGGGAAAAGATTATGTAACGTTACGTTTGTAAATGATTAAGAAACACTCTTTGAGATTCGTTTTAATGAGATTGTTAACAAAAAAATAACACGAATAACTCATAAATTAGTAAAATAAGTAAGCATAAATCGTCCACAAGATAACATTAAGTTTATCTTTTGGATAATTTTTATCTGTATTGTAACAACATATATAGGTTGAATAAGTACATAATTAATAATTTCGCATTATCGTAACATATAACCGTTAGAAAATTATCAAGATTAATGTGATAACAGGAAATATATCTATGATTCTGTCTGAACAATCATTATTAATAAGGATGTCAGAAAATAAAAAATAATATAGAAACATATTATGATCTCGTTTTTATATTACGCTTCACGATTTCATATCCGATGAATCCGGGCTTATTAGAAAGTGGCCGAGTTGATATTCGTCGGCTGTATCACTATGGCACATTTGCTTCCAATTCAATTCTCAGTTCAGTTCGGAAGAGCAGTCAATGAGCTATCGACGTGATTGTATCTGCCTCGATCCAACTTAATGCACTATCTCACTAAAAAAAACTAGTGCACTGTATTAAACAACTGTTTTTAATTGAAATATATGAAAATGTTTTCCCTACAATTTTATAACATAATATTTAATCATCCTTAATGGAGAAGTTATAACCTTTTTAGTTTAAATTTTTTTGAGTATTTTAATTATTAAATATACAAAATGTTTATTGCATTGAGACAAATTTGACATATTTTATCTTTGAAAAATTATTCTGAGAATTTTAATCAGTAGATGATAAGGACCGAAGCACTAGCGGCCATGACTGAGCATCATACTCGTATGACATGACATTTTCATAGAGAAAGTAACATGTTATATTGTACAGTACATCGTTTTTTGTTTGCTGCAAAAAATAAACAAAATCACTAGATTTGTGCTTGCTTGTGACATTTCATTAAAGAAATATGGAGTCAATCTATTGAAAATCCCATATTGCAAATCTGCGTACCGTAGATTCCATTCATGTTCACAAATTTCTTTGCGTGTAATCCTGACCTTTGCTCTGTAGTGTTTCGAAATTCTAAAACTTCCGTGCAAGTCCGTTCTTACTACGGTAAAGTAACAACGTAAATGTACATAATTTATTTCTAAAAATTGATATAATAAAATTTTTAGGACAAATAGTACAGTTTATGAATTTTTTTAAATTATATAAAGGTTATGTTTATAATTTTACATATTCACAACAGTAGTATGGTGATGACGTTATAGGGTATGTCCAGCTAAAGAGAGAGGTAATTTTGTATGTGATAAAATGCAACCTTTGTCCTGGGTTTAAATCGATTTAGGTTTTGGAGCTTCTAAATACTAACATCAAAATGGTCTTCACAAAAGAATATAGGATATTTCTCAGATGTAAACTGTGCATCTCGGCTTGCTAACTGTAATCATGGCTTTCGACGATCTTATAACCAGAATAAAATTAAATGGCAGTTAGACAATGCCACACATGTTTTGAGAAAGAATTACCGTGATGCCCTAAAGCATCATCGTTAAAATTATAATGATATTCTATGGAAAAGAGGCACAATGTGAAAAAATCTCCCAAAATATACTCCATTAGGTATAAGAAAAAAAAAACATACAAACCGCAACTCCTATAATTTAAAATACTTTATTGATAACAAAAATGTTGATACATTTTGCATGGCGAATGCCACTACATTTTACTTGTTTGACTTTTCATAACATACAATACCTGGGTCTGTTTTTTAATCCTTTGAAAAGAAAACATATTTTATTTGCTGTTTAAACTTTGACATTTGGAATATTATATAGAATCATGCTTAATCAGTTACATTTTTATTACTCTTACTAGATACAAAACACCCTTCACCTCTTTGCTACTTCTTAAGCGAAATTGTTTGACACAAACAGGTTGATCGAAGCTAAATATTTCATACTATTCATTGCATAAGAGTTTCATTATTTTTATTATTTAAACGAGGGTAGCCAGGTGGAAAAATAATTTATTATTCTAATTTTAGTTTATCATTTATGAAAGAGAAATGAAACTTCTAAAAACGCTATTGATTAAAAAAAAACATAACAGGGGAAAATATTATGATTTAAGATATTTCAAATACCTGATAAAATATTAACGTGAAGTAAAAGTTAATATAGAATGTTTCATATTGCCCAAAAGATTTAAATGGCAATCAAAATCGACACCTGTCGTGAAAAGAGAGATTTTTTCATGAGACTCTTACATGGATGTTAACCTTTTTATTACTTCTCATAAAAATATATTTTAGATGGTTACTCTTATTTTTGCCATTTACCAAAAAGGCGAATTCATAATAAGTTTTTATATTTTTTAATGTAGGATATAGAACTAATTCTGTTATTTATTTATACAACAGTTTTTTTTTATATTTATTTTATTTAGTGACATGAAGAATCAATCCTTAAAGCCTGTTGAACCTTTTTACGCAATTATATTTTCAGTATTGGCGATAAGGGAGATGAAACATAATGATGAATTTCCTATCAAAGGTAAAACACACAATCAATATACATAGATTTTGGCATAACATATTAATTGTCATTTAATGGCTCATCTGTATTATCATAAGAAAAACTTTTGCAAATAAAATTTTGAGCTTACACTTTCACATACTAAGAAATTTTAAATTCATGTCATCACGAGATACTAGGTACCCTTACAGAATCGTGAATATAGAAATTCGTTTACAAGCTACAAGCTTTCCATTTGCAGGGTAAAAAGTTGCAGTCCTAAAGCTATGTACATGTGCTGCTTTAGTCATCATTAATTTTCGATTAGGTATTTATTTCGATATTCATTTTTTTTATTAATATTCGTTGTTTAATATTGAAGTTATCATTTCCTAAAATAGAAGAAGATATAAGTAATTAATTACAGTTATACAGAAAAAAAAAAGTGACTAAAATAATCCTGTTATAGAGTCATCATCATCCGTTCTACCTCTTGATATAGTTTAATTGTCATATGATAATTCAACTAATAAGGAGATCTTTTCCATCTTTAACATGATGAAATAAAAAGTATTGTTTCATCAAATGTTATGTTGAAAATATAATTAAAATTTATAGGTTTATATGTAGTTGAATTACTGCAGCTCGAACATGTTCTGGCTCGTCCGGGGAAGTATCTCCTACATAAGATCAGCGTGAAGTAGCGCCTATTCCCATCCTTTCCTTGCATTTCCTTATTCCCACCCAACAACCTACTTCTTCGAAAAACCAAGGTTGGCAAAGCATCCGTAACAAGAATTACATCAGATACACGGAACCAGATTGATGAGCTCCGCAAAGGTATGTCCAACTTAGATACCATTACAAACAACATAAGGAAAAACCTGGAGAAGGAAAATAATAAACCACCACCACAACCAACGCAGTCGGTCGAGAACATAGAAAAGAAGTTTGACGCGTTGAAGTCGGAAATTAAAAACCTCGGTGATAGATTTAAAGAGGATGCTGCCACAAAACAACCGCAGAAGCCGATCCAACTGGGTGAACACCTGCTGCCCATCACAGAACGGCTTAAAGCAGTAGCATCAGACATAAAATCGCTGAGAGAAGAAAAAAAGGACACCACTCCGACACAAATGGCACTTAGCATCGGTACAGAGATGGCTATTACTGAGATGATAAAGAGTCAGGCGCAGGTCCAAAAGAATCCATCATATGCACAAGCAGCGAAGAAGTCCCCGGTATTAAGACAGCCCAACCACACGATCATTGTCTCCTCAACCGATACATCTAAGACAGGAGACAACATAATTAACATGCTCAAGACGACCCTTGACATTAAGAACTCAGGCGCAAGGGTCGATAGGCTGAGAAAAGCCAGGAACCAAAAAGTTATAATCAGCTGCAGTGCAAAGGAAGATCTACACCTGATAGAAGAGAAATTAAAAAAGAACAGTCTGCTAAAGTCCGAGACTGCAAAATTCAACAATCCTCTAATTATAATAAGGGATGTGCTGTCTTACCACACTGATGCAGAACTAGTGGAACACATTCTAGCTCAAAACAAAAACATACTCAAAAATGTGGAGCCCCAGGACAAGATCATCCGAGTGCGTTATAGGAAGCGAGCAAGAAACCAACACGAGTGCCACCCAATACTGGAGGTATCACCAATACTCCACAAAAACATACTGGAGGCTGGTAAACTCTACATCGAGCTACAACGAAGACCTGTAGCGGACCACTCGCCTCTAGTGCAATGCACGAAATGTCTTGGTTTTGGACACACTAGAGCCATATGTCAAGAAGAGCAAGACCGGTGCAGCTACTGTGGGGCAGCCCACACATGGGAGAAATGCCAGGATAGGAAGGAAGGCAAAAGACCACACTGCCGTAACTGCACCCAAACCCACAAGTCATCGACAAACGAAAACCACAATCTGGTTATAAATCACCACGCCTTTAGTGCAGACTGTCCAGAAAGACAGAAATGGGACACTATAGCTCGATCAAAAGTCTCATACCTGTGCTAAGGTCCCATCAGCCCCCCATCACTCGTCCTCATCACTCAAGATCATTAAAGTCGTCCAGGCTAACCTCCAAAGATCAAGATTAGCTACATCGGAACTGCTCCAAGCGGCTGAAAAATACAACTTTGCTATAGCTCTGATACAAGAACCCTATGTAGGCAACAAGGGCATAGTAAAGCAACATCCCGGCACGAAAGTTTACCAGTGCACTCTAGACCGCAAAAAGCCAAACAAAGCAGCCATCATGATCTTTGGAGACTATTTCGAAGTCATTCACGATCCACAAATGGCAACCGAAACAGAAGTATCAGTCACGATCAGGCTTGACAACACCACCATCGGCCTCGTCTCCGTATACTACGAAGGGGACCAACCCATAAGTCCATACCTTCATCGCACCAAGAACATCTTACAGAACCTGCAAGCGACAAAAACAATCGTTGCAGGCGATGTAAACGCATGGAGCCATTGGTGGGGAAGCACCACAGAAGATGCGAGAGGCTCAGAGTACAGCGCATTCCTCGACGAGTTGAATATGCACATCCTCAATGTCGGCAATACGCCGACGTTCGAAACAACACGAGGAAATAGGACCTACACCAGTTTCATAGATGTCACAGCCTGTAGCCAGTCGTTATTAGGGATAGTGGAAAACTGGAAAGTTGACAGAAACCTCACCACCTCCGATCATAACGCCATAACTTTTACGTTGCGACTAGAAAGGCCTCTTCATCCACTGAGGCCAGTCACAACTCGTAAATACAACACCAAAAAGGCGAAGTGGCAGGATTTCAAAGAACTTCTACTTACTACCCTCAAGAACAACAAACTAACGACAAATACCATCAACGCGGTAGAAACCCTCCCCGAGCTAGAGATGCTTGCGACCTCCTACATCAACACAATTCAGGAGGTATGCGAGAGAACCATCCCTAAAAAGGGAAGCTACAATGGTAAACCGACCCCACCATGGTGGTCGCCGCAACTACAGGAACTAAAAAAGGACGTTATGAGGAAAAAGCGTAGAATCCGAAACGCGGCCCCAACTCGCGTCGAAAAAGTGATCGAAGAATATAAGGAAGCAAGACTGAAATACAAGACCCATGCAGAAGAAGCTCAAACATCGAGCTGGAAGGAATTTTGTGCCACACAAGACAAGGAAAGCATGTGGGACGGAATCTACAGAGTAATTCGGAAAACAGAAAGAAAAACAGAGGACCATCTACTACGAAACTCGTCTGGCAAAACGCTAAGCCCTGAAGAATCGGCAGAATTACTAGCCAAAACCTTCTACCCGGACGACTCAGTAGAAACAGATACACCATATCACACAAGGATGAGAACAACAGCACAGCCGTCATCACCTACATTGCCTACATATCCGCACCAAGACGATCCACCATTCACGCTGGTAGAGCTCAACTCAGTACTCTCAACACTGAACCCGAGAAAAGCTCCCGGCCCGGACGGATTCACCGCGGACATATGTACGGCTGCCATCACAGCGGACAGAGAGGTGTTCCTGGCGCTCGCCAACAAATGCATGGCGCTTGGTCACTTCCCTGATCAATGGAAAACGGCACATGTAGTGATTCTAAGGAAACCCGGCAAAGAAGACTATACCCATCCAAAGTCTTACCGTCCCATCGGTCTGCTGTCTATACTCGGTAAAATTCTCGAGAAAATGATGGTAGCCCGCATCCAGTGGCACATTACCCCCACACTCAATAAGAACCAGTACGGGTTCCTACCACAGCGAGGCACTGAAGACGCTCTCTACAACCTAGTCCAAACCATCAAGGACGGGGTCACAGCCAAGAAAATTGTACTGGTAATATCCTTGGATATAGAGGGTGCCTTCGATAACGCGTGGTGGCCAGCCCTAAAACACCAACTGGTCAAGAAGAATTGCCCAAGAAACATCTATGGCATGGTAGGTTCATATCTGGAAAACCGCAAAGTCGTCGTAAACTATGCCAGAGCAACGAGTGAGAAGAACACGTCCAAGGGTTGCGTACAAGGATCCATCGGAGGCCCGACCTTCTGGAACGTCATACTAGACTCGCTCCTGCAGACCCTCAGCGATGAAGGAACTAGTTGCCAGGCATTCGCAGACGACGTAGTACTTACATTCACAGCTGATTCCATCAAACAGCTTGAAGATTCCGCCACCAGGACATTGCAGACAATAGTGGAATGGGGACAGCAAAACAAGTTAAACTTCGCGCCACACAAGACCTTCGCAATGATGGTGACGAAGAAACTGAAGCTCCACAACCCCGTAATCTACATGGCAGGCAAGGAAATCGCCCTAGTGAAGGAAATTAAAGTCCTGGGCCTCATCATCGACAACAAACTGACCTTTGCCAAACACATAGCATCAACATGCAAGAAAGCAGCTGGCATATACAAACAGTTGGCCTGCGCGGCCAAGGTCACATGGGGCCTAAATCAAGAAATAATCAGGACAATCTACACAGCGGTTATAGAACCTATAGTGACATATGCGGCAAGTGCATGGGCACCGGCAACAGAATTGAAGAAGATCCAAGACGTATTAAACTCCACTCAGCGAGGATTCGCTCTAAAGATATGCAAGGCATACCGAACGGTCTCGTTAACATCGGCGTTAATTCTAGCAGGAATATTGCCATTAGACCTTCGGATACAGGAAGTGTCCAACCTCTACAGGACCAAGAAGGGACACATAAAGGACTATCTACCACCTGGCAGGGAACTCGAGACAAAGGTGAGTTATCTAAACTACTCTCATCCGGCTCAACTAACATCCATTGAGTACGAGCTCCTGGAAAACATGGATCCTGAAACCATAAAGTCACACCAAATAGAAGGACCCCAGATATACACCGACGGCAGCAAAATAGAAGGTAAAACTGGGGCCGCAGTAACATGGTGGGAAGGAGGTAGGGAAATCATGTACTCAAAACTCAGCCTAGATCCATCCTGTACAGTGTTCCAGTCGGAGCTCTATGCCCTACACAGAGCGATAAGGATGGTGAAGAACAACGACTCGCCATCAATCAACGTCCTCAGTGACTCAAGATCCTCGCTGGAACTTCTAAAATCAGCCAAAGAAGTCTTGCCCCTACAGAAACAAATCAAAGATGATATCCTAGAAAAGACAACAGCCGGACGAAAAATCAGATTCTTCTGGCTACGAGCACATGCAGGTACAGTGGGAAACGAGAGAGCAGATGAACTGGCTAAATCAGCAGCCCTACTAGAAACCTCAAACCCAGGTTACCAGCTGATCCCCCTGTCCTACGCCAAGAGGAAGATCCGAGAAGAAAGCCTCAAAAGATGGCAACAGCGATACAGCCGTTCACCAACAGGCACGGTCACAAAAATGTTCCTCCCCGACGTTGACTCAGCATACAGAATGGTGAGGAGCACTAAACTAACACCAACACACGTGCAAATGCTGACTGGTCACGGAGGCATAGCTCAATACCTGCACAGATTCAGGCTAATAGCGAGTCCGGGATGTGAGTGTGATCCCACCGTAACCGAGACGGTGTGGCACTTACTCCTGAACTGCCCAAGATATCAAGGATCCAGAAGAGATCTAGAAAACCTAATCAACACCACCGTCGACATGGAGATCTTACCAACAATACTCTGTGACAAGAAGACCAGGGAACCGTTCCTCGCATACGCTGACAAGATTCTACGGGCAGCCGCAAAAAGATATAGCAACGCGGACCGGGATAGAGCAGCTGAAGAACAGATCATCATCTCCGGTATAGACCCAACACCCAACTCCCGGCATATAGAACCGCCCACCCAAGTCGGTATGCCTAGACAAAAAATCGAAAGCATACTATCAATGGGAGAGAGTGGGATCCCGGGACTAAGAACGAAGAGCGTGGCCCTATACATGGACACCCCCTATGAAAAACTGGGGATCAGCTTCTGCTCGAACACCGGACCGAACAGCGTATCTATTGCACCGGGACTGGCCTCAATCATAAAAGGCAACTCAGGGAGAACCGCCATGAGGAGGAAGAAACTGGAAGCAATAGGTGAAGTGGAAGTCGGAAACCACAAATGCCGCGTCTTGTACATCAAGAACAAGACAATACTAATCCTGGAGGCACAAAACGACAGATCCCAGTTCAGCTTAGCCCGATCCCTCCTTTCGGCAATAGCGAAGACCAGCAAAGACAATGCGTTACCACCCAAGATCATAAGCATCGACGCATTGTCCGCGGGCTACTACAAGGGTGAAGTATTAGATCATCTAGGAAGTGTAGAAGCATCAGAATTCCACGAGGTGATCATATACGAAGACAGGGGGGAAGACCTAAGTTACCTGAAGATCCGGAAACCCAAAACCCCCACTGTCACCCCCGCTACAGGTTATCCATCAAGCCTAACTAGCTCCGGTAAACCATCAGGCTCAGAGCTTCAACAACGGAGATTCCAGGAAAAGAGCACTCAGAAAGACCCCAAAGCCAAAAAATCTTCGGCCGGGTGCACCATATCCTCGATCCTCCAAAAGTTAACGCACGGAGCTCGAAGTAAACCATTAATCGAGTCGGCAATCCACGGAACACCCCCAACAGCCTACAAAAACCCACCACACAGTGCGCCAACAAGAAGAACCAAAGCCGCAATGGGTGTGGTTCAGTCTCCTGAATATAGGAAGATCGTCGAACCAAGAGACCATCTTATAAATGCGTTCCTTGAGTATATCTCAATAATTAAAGGGCAAAAAGCGGAAAAGACCAACAGATGCCGCAAAATCCTAGAGACGTTCCACCTAGGGAACGAAGGTTTATTGAAGGTATTACTCGAGGAAGCCGAAGCGACGATCTACAACAACAGCACCTCGGAAGTGGTTAGGGGAAGACAAATGCAACCCCATATGGCTGCATACAATGGAGAAAAGGGCATTGTCTACCTTAACAAGACTGACACCGGGAGATCAGGAATTCTGACCTATGACACCCCACCCACGGACCCGATAGTGGTTGTAACCGATTCCACAAGGATCTACCTCGAGGACAGCATATTAAAAAGAGCGGACGAACTGATGGAAGCCACCGACCTCGAGGAATGGAAGGTTCCAACCATCAACTGGACAAACGGTGTACCGGGATGCGGTAAGACGACCTGGATAGTGAAGAACTTTAACGAGACCACGGACATAGTAGTGACTACAACTACAGAAGGTAAGACAGATCTGAAGAACAAGGTGGCGATCACGAAGGGACCCGCCGCCGCGGCCAGAATCCGTACAATCGCATCAGTGATCGCGAATGGGGTCAAACGGAACATAGTGTGCCAGAGACTAATAATCGACGAGGCACTTATGAACCACTTTGGCTCCATAGTAATGGCACAACAAATCACTGATGCCAGCGAGGTTCTGCTGATCGGCGACATCAACCAACTCCCCTTCATTGAACGCGAAAACCTCTTCAGACTGTACTACAAAGGGCCTGAACATCTGGCAAATATAAATCAGGAACTACTGTGTACCAGACGCTGCCCTATGGACGTAGCCTACGCGCTCAAAGACATCTATGACGGCATCTACTCCTCCAACGGTATAGTAAAATCCGCTGTGCTGAAGGAATACACTGGTGCGAAAATACCCAAACACCTACCTAGGACCCTCTACCTTACGTACACGCAGAAAGAGAAATCTGAACTGCTGCAAGAAGGATACGGAACTGGAGAAGAATCCCGCACCATGACTATTCATGAAGCCCAAGGTCAAACCAGCGAGATCGTCGTAGTTATAAAAGGCAGCCCCACCAACTGCTCACTGCATAACAGCGTGCCCCACGCGGTAGTAGCTATGTCCAGACACACAAAGGCCTTCTTCTACTACTCAGATAACCATCAAGACGCACTTGGAAAAATCATCACTGTATCAACATCAGCAACCAGCCAGGAGATCAAGAACTACAACATCAAAATGGCAATCAAATCGAGGGATTTCAACACCATTAAGAATATAACTGAGAGCTAATTCTTGAGAAATATCTAAAATTAAATCTTGTTGTCTAAAAAGGGCATGGACCCTAGAGTTCATGGAGTTTAATAATGATAATAAAAAAAAAAAAAAAAAAAAAAAGCATCCGTAACATCTCTTATGTTGCGGATTTCCATCGCTACGATGCTACTATTGACAGTAATATGATGGCCACGGAAGTAGATCTTCGCGTAGGCCAACTACTTCTTTGCCACGCTTCTCATAAAAAAAATTATTAAAAAATATGAAATTGTAAGATTTGATGTTAATATTAAACTCATAAATATGAAAAATTCTGCAAGCGTTTTCATTTTCTAACATCAATTACATTTACTTTTATTTAAACTTCTTAGGTAGATGTTACAAAACAAATATTTTACATTACGATGAGGACTGGTACTGGGACCCTCCTAATAAAGTCCCATTAGCAAATAAAAATCATTAAGCGGAGATGAGATAAACGTGTTCATAATAGAAGTTTAGTCGACATATATTTTTATATTTTGAAAAAAATTGCATTAACTTTAGTAAATAAATAATAATCATTTTTTTTAAGTTCAATAACCCGCTTTCAATATATATATTTTTTTAAAGCAAGTAAAGTACATTTAAAGTTACTAAAAAAAAATTTACACACGACGAATAATAATTAAATAACTTATTAAATATATTCAACCTTTTCATATTTTCCACTAACATTCAATGCAGATCAGATAAGTAAATGTTGAAGAAAACTGTTTTATATTTTTAGGACTAATTAAAATCTTTATATAAGTTGCACAAAATATGTAATAAGGTGATAAATAATGAGTGTATTTATACGTTTTTAAAATTTTCATAGACTGAATTTAAATTATAATAACAAGTTTTAATGCCATACGTTATTCCCCTATGACTATTTACTCTTACCAAAAACAAAATTCTCCTACTCTTTATACCGTTTTTTAACATAATACTTATATAATTGTATATAATATAGTACATATATAAATACAAGTAAAAATACATAATTTAATTTAATTTTTGATGACACCCCCAATTTTTTGGGTGTCATCATAAATTTTTAAAGCTATTGGCGTGAGTACAAATATGGCATAGGTATTTTTTTTATAAAAAATAATTCTTTTGAAATATATCAAAAAAATTATTAACTTTTAAAAGTGAAAAGACATGTTAAATACAAGTATGACCAGATAAAAAAATATGTGTTCATTTTTTCCTAACAGAAGCTGTTTATTTCTGTATTTATGAACTAACTTAATTTATTACTTCAGTGTTCACTATATGATTTGGTAATAACGAATCATAATATTATTTTCAAACCACAAATAATTTCTTTCAAGAACTACATAGTATATTTTGAAGAGAGAGATGAATGTGGCTATACAAAACAGCGGAATGGGATGAGATGCGACATTTCTTTGCATCTCATATCTGGAGGTAGTTTTGGAGACCACAGGAGATCCGTCGAGGTGCGCTGACGCTATAACGGATGTGATACGTCAGGCTATGAAATACTCGATCTTCTTCGTAGACCTGTGAATTGATAGGAAAGCTTGCCCATGGTTCACAATCGAATGTAATGAGACTAAAAAGCACATGCGGCTTGTCTTTCGTGGGTAGATCCACAAAACCGTAAAACTCCTGATATTATTTCTAAAAAGAGATCCTGTAACACAACTACTAAATTCTGCAAAAGAGACCTTGTACCTCATCTTTTGAATGACCGGAATAGTGCCTTAGTATTTGAAGATAGCCAAGGTAGTTCCAATACCAAAGAAAGAAATCCGAGCAGATCCTCCTAAAAAGAATAAATAATAATTTAATGTTTTGTTAAAATAACTGATAAGTGTAATAGGATTACTATACAAATATGAATACGTTTTAAAATGACTTTATTTTTTGTAAATACTGCGCTTTAATTTAGAAAAATGTAGTCTTTCCTCTTGTTGCAAGCTATTATAGCTTTTAGTTTGGTACATTGATCTGTGTTAAAGTTCAATTAATGTAGGTACCTAAAAAGATTTAAAAAACTCTATTAGTACAGCTATTTAAAAATTATATCGCGTATTTACTAAATATCAACCAAAGCTGATACCATAATACATAAAGTAATAAATTAAAAAAAAATCAAGTATAGAAAAACGGTTACAGAGGACGTTTCTTAGCAAGGCATCTTAAATTGCTAAAGAAAATTTGCTGTATCCAAAGTAGTAGAACTGGAAAATTACTACTTGATTTCCCTAATGGTATAAATCGTGATACAACACAATCATTCATTATTCTTTACCGAAGATTCGTGACGCATTTTAATTGTCTGTAACATAAGTAGTAGAATCATTTAAAGTATAAATTTAACAGTGTTTTTTTTTTTTATTTTAGATGGTTCCAATTTTGCTATGTAACTGTTGGCTAAGGTCTGGTTACCTTTTTATATTTTGAAGAACTATCATTTAGTTGTTTTCTTAACATTAATTAAAATTTTTGCAGTTTTTTATAAAAAAATTCTATATACATCTATACTATTATTACTGACAATGTAAAAGATAATGAAAAATATTTTTATAAAATTTTAAATCGCCTCAATCTAAAATAATTAAATATTTAACATTATATTTTTATACATATCAGGTACTATAGCGTCTTTTAAATATAGTATAACTTTAAAGAAAACTTTCAGTTTCCATTACTGTAATTTATTTATATTTTCGAATCTTATAATTAAAATACTTACATCATTTGGTTATTTTTTTAGATTTTAGATATAAAATATTGATATCCTTGAAGTACGGTAAAATACTTAAATGGGATCTTAATTGCTAATCAAATTACGGCCTACGTACGGTTACGACGACATTTGCAACTGCCTCGAATAATGTCTTAGTAATGATACTTAGTAACAAATGCGTACCAAATAAATATAGATAAGCGTCATGCTAGTACATATATAGTTTGTTATATATAAGTATTATATGTATAGTTAATATAAATTATTTCTTGAATCAGCTTGTATTCGCTATAAATTTAACATTGAAAACACAATCTTTTTAGAAAGAGTAAATGCAAACTGGACGTCAATTCGGAATTTTCATGGAAAAATCGTTCATGTTAACTTTTCACGTCAATTTTCGTTAGTGAGTGCAAATATAACCGTTCAAGATAGTTCATACATGTGAAGTACTAATTTTTCTCTTTTTTACTTATTAAAAATGTATATTGTATTTCCCGATACTATATATATGTATAATAATATGTTGACAATTTAACTATTTTACATTTATGTTTGGTATTTCCTACTAGTAAGATTAAATTTATATGAAAATGTTAATTTTTTATTGAATTTAAAATTTTCTTATTTTTAAAATCAATTTCGGATTGACAAATATAATATTGACCAGGGACAGGCAAAAGTACTAAAAATTAAAATGGCCATCAAGCTGCACTTGAAAAAATATGGCGGACATGTCGGAAGAGAAAAGGGAATTTAAAAAAATCTTAATTTGTGGGACAAAATTTATTTCCCTAAGTTTATCTTTATAATGTAAACACGCTGTGTCTGTTTATCTTGCTATTTTTAATGCTTAGTATTACTGACTTTAAAACTTAAATATTTGTTTGCTTTTGACTTCAGAAATATATTTTTGAAGTGATTATTTTTGCTGCATATGGGTAACGCATTTCCCCGTGTATAAAAGGAACTGAATAAACTTATGTATGTTAGTGTAAATACAATGAACTGAATAGAGTTCAATTTAATCACAAACCTACATATTGAGATAACTAAAAATAAATAAGAGTCAGATTTATTTCTATTTACTGAACAAAATTAAGAAATATATAACAAAATTATTAATATTGCTACATCTGTTAACAACGTAAGTTATCGATACTTCACCATTACACTATGAATATAACATAAAGAATTTAGTATTATAAACCAAACTGTTATTACTGTTTCTATTCTGTAAGTTAAACTGATTCAATGAGATATGAGACACGTATACGTGCTTTCAGCCAGCTGCTAGCCGCACGTACGAACAAAGGGTAAGTAACATATATTAAATTTAAAACTATAGAAAAAACGTATAAAAAGGCAGTAGAGTTTTTAGGAAAACTTTTAATTATTTTAAATCATTTGTTATAATATCAGTACAGTGATTGGTGATTAAAATTTAAATGCAAGAAGGCTTTAGAATTTAAAATAAAAACGTAAATATACGAGAACTAAGTTATAAAGAATATGTTTTGTCAAAATTAAAAAAGCACTCTTAAATATTAAAACAACTACTAAGATTTATAAAATAACTTTAAAAGAACCTCTAGTTATATACTATACTACATATATATATATATATATATATATATATATATATATATATATATATATATATATATATATATATATATATAAATTGTTGTTCCTTGGTCTCACTAAAACTCGAGAACGACTGAACGGATTTATCTTATCATAGTCTTGAAATGTTTGTGGAGGTTCAGGGAAGGTTTAAAAGCTGAAATTTTTTTTATTAATTTCCGGGAAAATCCTAAAAACAGCACTTTTTTATTTCCGATGCAAACGGTTTTTGACATTAGATTTGATAACTAACTAATATTTCAATCATTTCGTCGCACTTCAGAACACGGAGATTTATGGCTTAAAGGTAAACACCAAACAAATAAAAAAGACATAATTTATTTCTTGATTGAGGCAGTACGAAGTCTGCCGGGTCAGCTAGTTATATTTATAAAACATTTAGTATTCCACACCCTTATAGGTGAAAAGAGATCCTTTTTAGTTTATAGTATTTCTCTCTATCGATTCGTTAGTCTGCTTGTCATACCCTTTATCTTAGATCTTAATTTTGCATACTTTACTCTTAGAAAATTTAAAAATAAGTTTTATAGCAAATGACGCAAACATTGTATGTCAAATGTATTAAAAATCTCTCGTGCATGAGGGCGCAGGTTCGAAACCTGGCAAGTACCAATGTGATTTTTCAGTCATATGTACTTTCTAAGAGTATTTAGATACCACTTACAGACGGTAAAGGAAAACATCGAGAGGAAACCTGGACTTATAATTTTAATTGAAAGTACCCACAAGTCTTGAGCAAGCGTGGTGATTAATGCTCTAACCTTCTCCATGTGAGAAGAGGGCTTTGATTAAAAAAATAATTCTCTCTGTTTAGACAGAGAATCAGTACATACTCAAACTTCTGTTCAAAAATACTGTAGCAAATATATAAAAATATTAAATACTAAAAATACTTATATAAAACGATAGTTTTTAAAAAAAAATCATTCGGTCACTATTAGGCCTCGGCCTCGAATTTTGCGGGCAGCGGAGCGGCAGCGGGAGCGGCAGGATCTTACGCGTATAATCAAATGGACCGACCGGACCCTCGAATACAGCGGTGCCCACTGCCCGCTAGTTTGGAGAACAGTATGCGTTTCCGTGCCGCCGCCGCCGCCGCCGCTCCGCTGCCCGCAAAATTCGAGGCCGAGGCCTTAGGGATACTATAACACTGATATTAGTATTATTTGTTATTTTATTAAACGCAATACTACCGAGTAGTATGTAGTTATAGTGTTTTATAGTGACTTTAAGTTTTTTGTTTGTTTGTTTTAAAATGAATGAATATTTTTTTAAATGTTCACTTAAATTATTATGGTATTACAATTTAACAGTTCATAAAATTTCATAGTATAATTATATGGTACAGAGAAAGGCTTATTTAGGTGTCATCATCGCATGCTCGTCACGTCGAACGTTTCAAGAATGTTTGATAAAATACTCATTAGAAGGGTAACAAAATGGGCAGTTAATAATCAGGGGACTTATTAAATTGTAATCATATTTAAATAAGATATACTTTGCTTTCATGGCTTTCAAATATAATTAAGCATTTAAATACAGAGTTTTTGTAAGTTTGAATTTATATATTTTAAAATAAACTGTCTTTAATGTAATGTATTAATGGTTTTGTGATACAGAAACTCTGCTCAAGCAAGGTCTGCCCCTGGCTATCTGTTGTTTCCTTTTACAGGCGCATAAAACTTTATCGGAGCTTGCGCTTGCTTTATTACGTGCTAACTATATTTTACGCGCCTCGTTCTATTAAAATTTGGTATATTAAGACATTGAAGCTATCATTAAATTACTTTTATGTTGCAGTAATAATAAGACGAATAAATATTACCTCGAACTAACTATAATCAGTTCAGTACGACTCTTATAGTTCTGAAAATTACTTAAGAAATAAATGCGAATGGCAAAAATTTTGAAAGCAATTTTTAAATAATTATATAATCAAAATTAAATATGACTATGAAATATATTTATAAATATATACATACATTTCCTTTCACCTACATTTAAATTTATATAAAAACAGACCAATAGATTTTAGACTCAACGTTATTATACTTAGATGATGCAGTTTTTTGACATATTTACAAAAAAAAATTAAAAACCATAGCCTCACTTGGACAAAAGTATAACAATACATTTTTAACAATACATTGTGCTAACTTTCTATCATGCTAAATTGCTATTGCTAAAATTTCATCTAGGCAGGTATGCTCATTTGGAGGAGATACTTAAATTTTTATAAGTTTGAGTCGTCAAATATATCAGACGTTTGAAAAACTATTACAGCAATTCATTTCAAAATGAACTATTTTTATGTTTATTTGTAAGGTCCTACTTATAAAGGGTTCCTATTTAAAGGCGTTTTTTCACTACTTTTGATTATATATGTAAATGGTTTTTTTTTTTTAATGAGAAATATTGTAAACAATAAAGGCTATTTATTAATTCTATAACACTAGAGAAAAACAGTAATTACTTTGGAAAAGTTTACAGCAATAACATTTCCAAGGATTATATTTTTTCTTCGCTATATTTTCACAAACGCTATTTTTAAACTGTCATAGACTGTCAATCAGATATATTTTTTATAGTTTGGTTAGTACCTATGTACATATAAAAGCCAGAGGTACATATAAAATAATTTAATATTTAAAATATTGCTATTATAAGTATTGGTTTAAATATATTAAAACACATTATCGTGTATGCTTTAAAAATCATTTACTAGAATCTGTAAAAACATATGCATTATGCATATTATTTTCAGACACTTCCGACTAACAAGCAGTATATAATATGCTTGATTAATTTCTGTAAACTATAAGATATAAAAACATATTTATGATGGCATTTTATTAGTAGATTTTGGTAGAAGTAAAAAAAACACCAGATTTTTTGGTTTTACAAGAGTATTTAAAAAATATTATTCATATCTTCAGCCGGGTTTTTTTATTTAGTTTATTTTTGGTTTCCATTTTAGATATTTTCGAACTAGTCATATTCATGTTCTTTATTATCTCATTTCATGTGATGAAATTCTTAGTTATAATTTTTTTAGTGAAACAAAATTGGCTTTGTTAATAAAGTTGCAACAATAATTAAATCTCATTCAGTAAATGTCTGTAAACTATAAATTAATATAACATAAAAAAAAATGCTTAACATTTTCTAATGAATCGTGGAATACCACATTAAAATAAGCATTAATCATCAGTATATAATGTCACTTTTCTAAACTACTTTGCATTGCCAATATTAAGTAAAAAACATATTTTATCACATCAGATGTTTATATAATTAAACACGCGGCAGACGCTGAAACAAAATTGTGTGTCTCTGAAGAAACGTTTTTAATTAATAATATAAAATACATTCACTACTTTCAGATGTAACTGGAACTACTATCAATAGTATCAATAATAATTTTTTTTTATATATTTTATTATAAGCTTTAGGCTCTGCGTTATGAAAATATCGTTTTCAATAAATTGAATACTATTAAGATACAAGTCTTCAGATATCACTTTCAAATTACTATTATTACCTTTGTTGTAATTTTATCAATTTGTTATAAAATATGAATGATTATCTTATTTTTTAAGTAATATTCGGATAAGTAGATGTGAAATTTGTATTGCAATTTTTATGCGGTATATAACTATTGTCACTTTTTCTTTATTACAAACTAATAAATAAAACAGATTTCACTGTGTTTTACCTTTTTTAAGTCCATGCAAGACCTATACTTTAAACTATTTTAGTAAGAATTTCCCTTTTTGATCCAGGCGTATCTAGGTAAGTTTCCTATTGTTGTTGTTTTTTCAATTATAGTTTTTATAAGGTTTTCCAAATTCAATCTGCCGTTAAGGATTTTAAATTCTGCGTTAGTCACATCACTTAACAACATTTCACAGTGGATAGATTTTACCTTTTGCTTAATTTTGATCTGTATTTTACCATCTCTTAGTAAAATTTTGGAGGTCCATGAAACCGAAACAATTATATTTTATAAGTGATACTTTTGGAGACATATACAATAGTTATAAATAATATCATTTTATTTACTTTAAGCAAATTCTTGTATAAAATCTTGTTTGAGTAAGTGTCTACATTTATAACATCTATTATAAAATCTGCCTGAAGTTGCTTATAATTATGTTATTATCATCAAAAAGTTATTTATAAGACATACTAAAATAAAATAAAGCGATATATTCATTCTTAGGGCCTAAGAGCTTTTACATCACAATTACTGGAATTATCTCAATAGTAATGAATGAAACTATTATCACTTATTTAAATTAAGATGATCCAATAAATATATGTAAATATACACACCATCCTTGTTTAGAAAAGTTAAAAAGACAAAAATTCATTACATTCACCAAACTACACCAATTCCTTTACATGCTAGTATTATTGTATATAACTCGGTAGCATATGTAATTCAATCTAGCGAGAACATGAGACAGCTGTTTTCCTACTGTGATGTCATGAAACATGTTTGTAAATTGTTCTATATCTGTACCTAATTCATTGTAAATGATGTTAACTACGACTGGAGACAATTATTCACTATGAACTTTAAAAATGATAGAAATAGACTTTTTCTGGCCCTCGAACCAGAATTAAAACTCGTGAGGATGGTAAGGTCGATGTTATTTCGTTCATTTTATGTTTTCTGATAAATGTTTAGTATTAAATAATTTGAAAATGAATTTTGGGAACAGTAATAAAGAAAGTAGAAAGTTGTGGTTAGTATTAACAAGACTCTACTTTTTAATATTATTATATATCCAAGTGCGAAGACTTTCAATAACGGTATATTGTTATTGAATTTTAGAATTTATATAGTTCGTATCCTATTTAAAGTCATCACATAAAAACATTTGGTAGAATGATCTGTAAGGTTACATTTGATTCAATAAAGTTTTTTAATAAAACTTCTTAAAACCATTTTATAGTAGGTCATGTACATATAAATAATTGAATATAAAACATATTACATACATTATTATAAACGTAAGAGTATATATTACCTATAAAAGACAGTAGCTATAAGGAAGATGAACATGACTTTAATACCTAACAAATGCATTAACTTTGACACTCATTCATTTTGATACATGATCATTCCTGTCACGTACCACTACCTACCGCTATTGGTACGTCACCGTACTTATAAATTAAGTTGGGTATTGCAACAACAAAGTTTTCCAGTGATCATTTGTTTCCTTCTATTGTGAATTGCTTTCATTAATTCCAACGTATGATAGGAAGCAAAATACTATTTAATTTTAGTGCTTTGGACTGATTGGCACTCGGTGTTTAGATAATATTTTTTCAAATTAGTTATTTCAATTACACAATATTTATAAATAAATACCCAAAGTATCTTTCTTCATTGGCCTTATATTAAAATATATTAATCCTAGTCACTAACCTATCTATCAGGTATTCAAATGCTTATACCATAATTACCTATAAGGTTTGATCTCATATTGGTTGTATTACAATTTTTTGATACTTAATAATTTAGGTCCTGTAAACCATTCAAACAGACGAGATAAAAGTAATATTCTGTAATTTCTTGGATATTTTACTTATCTTATGCTCATCGTAAAGACACAGTCACTATCTTTTTTACATAATTACAATGGACTCAGAATTCAAGCCATTTTCTCTTTCTACTCGACAAACCGAGGTCCATATTTATTATCAACGTCTGGTCATTTATCAACGAGTAAGGTTTCAGAGAGAAATATTTGCTGAGGATTGATTGTTAGTCATTGAAAATAGCAATCGATCCTGTGTAAAATGCTTATACTTCTAATTCGTGTTTTAACTGTACTGATACTTCATAGTACAATAACTTAAATTTCATAATATATATATTTGCATACTACAATAAAAGACTTTATTAACCTCAACTTAATAATAAATGTGTTTGAAAATTCACTGTGATTGTTGCTTAGTTTTAGGTTCACTTTATATCCCTGGAAAGAAGAAAATAAAAGAGATAGGTTTAAAAATCAAACTTGAGAATGTTCCCATTACACAATATGATTAAAAATAAAGAAGTTTATAATTTTTTAAGAAGTTATGTTTCAATTAATAAAACTGACTAGCCATCAGTATGGGTAAAATCTAAATCTTAAATGTCGTGGATTAGAAGGCTGTTATATGACTAAGCAATAATCTCGTCAGCAGTTAGTAAGATTACAGATGAATCGACTAATCTTCTCTTCCTAGTGTCTTCATTAACTCAACCTTGAGTTTCGGCCCGGAGATATATGCTCTTTAACATGATAGTCCTGATGTTATGCATTACCTTAGCATCATTGACCTACAGTCAATGCAAAAAATTAAGCAGAATAAAATTAAAATAATAAAAAGTTTACACCCCCATCCACATTTATCAATGAGATTTTTTAGCATAAAACGACATTAAACTTACGACAACGAAAGACAGAAGACCTCGCCGAACTTTTTTAGACTCTCGCACATATTGATTAGAATGTTTCTGATGTCCGTCAATGACTCATGGAACTTATCTAACCACGAAACTGTACACTTTGAAGTCTTTTTTGAGCATCAAATGCCTTTCCTCTTGGGATAAACGATTAATGCAATAAAATACCAGTACTTGTGCTTAAACCCATATAAAGTATTTCCTGAGTAATGACCACAATGACGCTTTTACGCTTTTTTTATATTTTGCGGTACGTAGGGATAATATGGACGGAAGTC